AGCTAACATCCGTGCCCATCTTCCTCCACTTTACATGGGACTCCACCACAGCATGGCCTGACAAGCGGTGCGTCAGTACGCGCCCGGGATCCAAACCCAGGCCACCAGCAGCAGAGCACTTGCATTTAAACACTGTTACACGGGGCCAGCCCCTATGGAGCACTTCTTTACTTTTGTCACAAGGTGCTCCAGACTCATGCTATATATTTCCTGCCGCAGTCCTAGAATCAGCGATTTCTCCACGGAGCCCTGGTACCCTTTATTAGAGAATGTGCATCTTGCTTTTTTCGCAAAACTATATCTTTAAGATCTTTCCATATAAGTATATATTTTTAAAAACTTCCTCATTCTTTTTTATAGCTGTATAGTATTCAATTGCATGGATGGACCATAATTTACTAAACTGTCTCCTATTTAAACGTGGGTTCCAATCTTTTGCTCTTACAAACAATACTGCAGCAAAAATCTGTACATACATCATTCCACACATGTGGAACTATATCTGTAGAATAAATTCCTAGATTTGTCGTGTCAAAGGGCAATGCATTTGCACTTTTTATACATATTGCCAAATTGCTCTCTGTGTGGACTGTACCAATTTATCCTCGCTCCGGTAATATATGAGGGTGCCTATTTCCCCACAGCTTTGTCAACAAATTTGGCAAAACATTTGGATTTGTGCCAATCTAATGAGTGAAGAATTTTATCTCCATGTAGTATTAATTCACATTTCCCTTAAGAGTCTTCTGTATTTCCTTTTCTACCAAATGTTGCGCATATCCTTTGGCCATTTTTCTCTTGGGTTGTTTGTTTTTTTTTTGGTAATGATTTGTAGGAACTCTTTATATATTAGAAAGACTCAACCCTTTAGCTTTCATTCTAGTTTGTCATTTGGCTTTTGACTTTGCTTATAGTCTCTTTTGCCAGGCAAAATGTTTTTATTTTTGTATAATCAAATTAATCAATCTTTTATAAATGTGGATTCAGGCCAACTCCCCGACCCCACTTTTCTCTTTCAGAGTGTTCTTAGCTATTTTGAACTTCAATTGTTTAAGAAAAAAAAAAAGATAAATAGTTAAAACAAAAAACCTGTTGCTATGTGTATGAGCCATGCCTGCAGTAATCTGAAAGGACAAGGTCAGGCATCCCTGAAAGAGACCAGGACTAGCCCTGTGCTGCAGGTGTTGGCTCAGGATATTGGCTCTTCAGCCTCCCATCAGCTGCAGGGGACCATCCATGCTGGAGGCTAGGGAAGCATTGGGACCTCCCGGACCAGCAGATAGAGATGGCTGGAGTAGGTGAATGTTTACTTGGTATTCATTCATTCAATGAGTATGTATCGAACATCCACTGTGTGCCAAGTACTGTTCTAGGTACCAGGGATCCAGCAGTGGACACAATGGACAAAACCTCTGTCATCAGCAGCAACAGCATGGAGTTTGCCTTGTACTGGGGAAAACTGACAATAAACAACATAAACAAATTAACCTATCAGTTAGTGCCAAATGCTAAGAAGAAAGCAAAAGTGTCAGGGATGGGGGAATGGATGGGAGTGTCTGCTCTTTTAGAAGAGTGAACAGAGGAAGAGATACTAGAATGGCAGACTGTATTTATTTGGGTCAGCCCTCAACTAGGGCAGGAAAGAGCATGAAATCCCACATTAAACAGTTCATTGTAAGAGAATGGTCTCTTAAAAAGCAGAACCCAATAAATTGAAGTATTTGCTTATTCAATAAGAGGTACTGAGATAACTAGTTAGTAATTTTGGAGGGAAAAATACACATTGATCCCTATTTGATACCATGGATATTTAAAAATTGATTTTTAAAAGTTGATATTTAAAAATCAATTTATGGAAAAATTAGAAGAAAACAAATTATTTTGAAATTATGGGCAAGAAGGAGATTCATTTTCCAAGCATAGAAACAATATAAGAAAAAGCAAATTAAAAAATCATTAGATTTAATTTCTTTGGGGAAAAAAGCACCTCTGTTTGTAAAACACAAAGCCAGAGGAGAGAAGTGAGGGCCTTCACTTTTTAGGTCTGTGTCTTTTGACACTATTACTACCAGCAGGTTACTTTTGATATTAAAAAAAATGCAAATATAACAAGTAAAAATAATATAAATGAATAAATAGGCGGAAAAACCAGTCAAAACGGAAGCAGCCTACCAAGAAATCTTTGTTGTTGACATTGGAGGTAGAAGGCTTATATATATTACATAAAGAGCACATACAAACTAATTTAAACATCATTTTAGATCCCTCTATATAAATGGGCAAACAATTTGAAGAGGCAATTCACTACAAATGGAAAGATGTTCACTTTCAATAATAATCAAAGGGATGCAAATTAAGACAATAATGAGGGATGTTAGGTTTTATTCTTTTAGTTGGGAGAAAATATAAAACATAATATACGACGTTGGTGAGAGGACTAAGAAATGGCCAACCCACACGCTGCTAGTGGCTCTGCATATTGGCACAAGACTTTTAGGAAGTGATTTGGCTTATATATCAAGAGCTAGAAAGATGTTCACAAGACTTGATCTCAAATTTCCACCTCTGGGAATCTTTCTAAAAGAAAAGTTACATGCATAAAGCTGTGCTTCTTGTATTGCCAAGTAAACTTGGTGCTTTACGATAGTTGAAAAGGTAATAAATCATGGTGTCTCCGTTCAACAGACAAAATATCATCAATAGCTATGCAGGAACACGGAAATGCTCATGATTATCTGGGCCCAAAATTATATGTATATTATAGTTCTAACTATACTAAAGTAGGTCATTTTTTTTAAAAGATTGGTATAGAGTAAATAAACGAGAATATTTGTGCCAGGGTAGTAGAAATATGGATGATTTTGTTCTGTTTTCTAAAATTCCTTTTACGTTTTATTACTTTATTACGCTTCTAAAGTTTAACTTTATTGGTAGACAAATTAATATTTGAATATATAGAGAGACATATGTTCTTAGATGGGAAGACTAAATATTAAATTCATTTTAATTATCTCCAATTAATTATAGTATTTTAGTGATTGATATAAATCTTAAATTGATTTTTTTTGAATTGACAAAATTACTTTAAATTTCAACTGGAAGAAAAAACATGTGAGAATATAAAAGGATAAAAGATTACACTAACAGAGAAGAAAATTAAGGGAGACTAGGCTTTATGACTTTAAAACACATTATAAGGCAACAATAACTAAAATAGCATGGTACCAGCTCAAGATTAGACATAGGACTTATTGAAAGAGAATCACTCGCCCAGAAATAGAGCCCACCCTATATCAAAAGGTAAATATGTGATAAAGGAAGGAATAAAAAAGCACTAAGAAATGTTAGAATTATTTAATAAATGCATTTGAGATAAAAATATAAAAATTTGGGGGAAAAACATCTGTTGAGTAAAATATCACACCATATACAAAAATACATTTTAGAAGGATTAAAGAGAAACATCAAAAATTAATCACAACCAGAAGATTACTAAATTAAAATTCAAAACTTGTGTCAAAAATACCATTGATTACATAAAAATTTACATCTTCAGTATGTCAAAAAATTGTAAGAGCAAACAACATATCTGATGGTCCAAGAGTAATGATCTCATAGAAACTGGTTAAAAACAAACAAAAAACCCACCAATAGAGACAAGGGTTCTGAAGAAATAACTCACAACAGAAGAATCTAAACTAGAAAAAGGAATTAATGGGAAAGGTACAAGGTCAACAGTAATCAAAGAGATTCAAGGTAAAACAAGAACAAAGAATCACTTAACTATAAAATTTATAAAAATATGAATACCTAATATTGGTGAAAGGTCACTCATAAATTACTGGGGGCTATGTGGTCTGACCTTTCTGGAAAGCAATTTGGCAACTTACATCAAGAATCATAAAAATGTTTTTACCACCTGACCCAGAAATCCTGTTTGGAGAATTCATATGTAATGCAAAAGAAATACAAAGTTATATGCCATAAAGATGTTCATGAAATCATTATTTATCGTGGCAAAGTCAGAACCAACTTAAATATCCAACAGTTGAGGAACTGTTAAGTCAAGTGTGACGTAGTCACTGGACCACATCTGGCATTAAAAATGGGCACTAGGAAAACTATGTAGCAACAACTGACACCTGGGCTGGTAGACTCCACTGGACTGGAGTCAAGATTCTGGTGTCTTGATGGGTAAAAACAAGTAGGCTTCCCCCTTTCCAGAATTCTGCCTTAGCCTGGATTCTTTCTAGCTGGAGGTGCTACTCTACATTTGAGGAAAAACTGGGAGAGAATAAAGAAAAGTCATCGCTTTACTAGGGTGTTGGGATTTTTTCGGCCTTTTTTCTCTATATTTCAATGAATTGTGTTATATTGTTTTTACAGTAATTTTAAATACAGTACTTATTTCAGCTATAAGAAATGACCTCTTTCTAATTTAAACAATAGACAGTTCCTCATTTATATAATGGGAATAATAATAGTGCCTATAGATACGGAAACAGAGGCCCAGGGAGGTCAAAGCAGCTTGCCCAAGGTCACTCGGTTTGTGAGTGGCCTGGAAGCCAGGTTGTCTGACACCAAAGTCCACGTCTTAACCACAAGGTTACGTGCTTCCTGTATGTGTACCACAACGTAACAGGAGAAAAATGAACAACCAAGAGGCTAGATCTGTAACATAAAAATCATTACTAAGACCCAGTGGATAAACGAGTGGAGAACACGAGCACATAATTCGCTTGGGAGGAAATGCAAGCTTGGTTCTAATCCTGTTCCAGCGAGGAGCTTATCTGACTCGCCTACGGGCTGCCAGCTCCTGTGGTCCTGGTGCCCCCCCCAACCCCAGGGGCCTGAAGCACGGGTCTCTCCCTGCTGTGCTTCATCAGTGAGGTCAGGGGAGACTTTGCAGCGGGGACCTCCTTCAATCCAGGCCCCCACACTTACATGATCAGCCACGTTGGTGCAGCCTCCTGCGTGGATGAGAGCCTGGGCGACGTCCTCAGAGCCACCAAGGGCTGCATAGTGGAGGCAGCTCTGCTTTTTCTAGAGGGAAACAGGCATCAATGCAGTGTCCTAAGGACCTCTCACAGTGGGGTTTACAAAGCACTTTGGGATTCGTTATCCCATTTGTGTCTCACAACTCCCCCAGGACTATTATCCCAATTAAACTCTGAGGCTGGAGGAATCAATGACTTGCCCAGGCCTGGTGACTAGTAAAAAGGATTCACTATGGCCTCAGCCTTTTCCTCACCTCCTGTCACAAACTCCGGAACATAGACCAAAACCCGAACAATTCCTTAGCTGGTAAAGACATACAGAGTATCGACTCTGAGGAGATGGTTTTCAAAGAGGGGGACAAACAAGATTTTCCAGTATAGGGCAAACCCCACCTGACATGTACTGCCCAGCTGGAGCAGTTCTCAGCGTGTCCAGGCAGGAGCCTGGCAGGGCCAGAGCAGGGGCTTCATCCTGGACAGGCCTTCTAAGTGCTCTCCTTCAGTCAGAGCCCAACCCTGGGCCAATAACAATCTCACACGAGATACCTCCCCACTTCGCCAGGCAGGCCCCGGAGGTGACCAACTGTACCAGATTGCCCAGGACTGATGGTTCCCTAGGATGCAGGGCTTTCCATTTTAAAACAAGGATAATATGGGGCAAAGTGGGATGAGTTGGTCACTCTCCCAAAGTCCCGTCTGAGCTGAGTACACAGGGTGGGTGGGAACCAGTCCACGTCCCAATAGGAAATGCAATCACATTGGGTTTGCAGACCCTACTGCGTGGCACTGCAAGGGGTGGGTGTGTTGAAACGGAATGTGCCCCTGCCAGAAACTTCAAGCCAAGGCTGGAGCACAAGGCCCAGTGCAGTGGGCAGCTCCAACCCCATCAACGACCACCAGCTGGACGCAACCTCCCCGTCTCTAAACTTCTATGCTGCTACTGCTGGGGAGGCGGCCCTGACATGTCACTTCTTTTGCCCCCTCCCAGCACCTAGTACTATACTGAGCACAGAGAAGGGACCTGCTGACCAAAGAGCGACACCAAGCCTAAGGAAGGATATCGGGTGCCCTGGGGCAGCTACCTTTCCCCTCTGGGCCTTGGTGTCCCCCCCACACCCCTGGGGCAGTAGTTCCCACACCTTCTAGGAGAGTTCTGCAAATTAAGTGTTTTGTGACTTATAAAGCATTATTCAGGGCCGGCCCCGTGGCTTAGCGGTTAAGTGCGCGCGCTCCGCTGCTGGCGGCCCGGGTTCGGATCCCGGGTGCACAGGACACACGCTTCTCCGGCCATGCTGAGGCCGCGTCCCACATACAGCAACTAGAAGGATGTGCAGCTATGACATACAACTATCTACTGGGGCTTTGGGGGAAAAAATAAAATAAAATAATTAAAAAAAAAAAGAAAAAAAAAAGCATTATTCACATTTAGCGGAGTTTAACATTGATATTATTACTAAATTTGTCATTTTGCTATTTATTTTCTACATGTCTCCTGTCTCTTTTGTTCTGTTTCTCCTTGACTGCCTTCTTTTGTGTTAGATATTTTTTAGCATACTATTTTAACTCCTGTTTTATAACTATTTTCACTATTATTTATATTTTATTATTTATTATTAATATTATTTTTGCTTTATTATTGAAATTTAGAACAAATAGAGAATTCCGGACCCTGAAGCCCTTCAACCAGCCAAGAAAGATTGTCATTGATCTAAAAATAAAAAGCAAAAACAAAACCACCAACTCCCTACCTAAAGAAAGGACACAACCCCCCTCTCTGAGACACAGAGGGGAATGTCTAAAGGCTGAGAAGTACAACAGTGAAGGGAGAAGAGGCCTGTCCCAGAGTCACACCAGGCTCCAGCATGAGGGCTGGGGTGGCCCCTGCACAGGTCGGGCAAACCTTCCAGGCCCTGAGCTCGGGAGTCAGGAATAGGCTTTTCAGACTCAGCTTTGCTTCTTACCAGCCTGTGACCTGGGCAAGTCACTGACCCTCTGTAAGCTTCAGTTTCCTCATCTGTAAAATGGGGGTAATTTCTCTGAGGTTAGAGTAATAAAGAGGACTTATGAACCATCAAGTGCCCAACAATAAGAAGACACTGACAGGTGGTGAGCTCCTATCTCACAGCAATGTAAAAAAGTAAGTATACAGCATCTCCATTTCATAGTTGGGAAAGAAGGCTCAGAGAAGTTAAGCAACTTGCCCAAGGTCACAGAGCTCAGCAGTAGAGAAGCCAAGACCAGAACCTGGGCCACTGCCTCATAGCCTCTATTCACACACGTTCAGGAATCATTGGGGCTGCTACTGTTGACATGGTTATGGCTCAGCAGCTGAGGGCAGACAACAGTCGTGGGTTGGCCTGGCTACCTGGGTGAGGGCGTTCACGCTGCTCCCAGCCCTGAGGAGGAGCTGCACACAGTCGGGGTGGATCCCTTCAACAGCAGCGTGCAGGGCAGTCAGACCTTCCTGAAACATACCAGGAGAGGTATGAGCACGGCGGGGAGGCTGAGGCCAACCCTGAGGGGAGAGGACACCCCTTGCGACACGGTTCCCAGGGCCCTTTGAGCTCTCCACTGCCCTGCTGCTGAGGACAACGACCTGGCTTATTTGTGGTTCCCTGAGCCCCATATCTGATTTTCTCATTTTGAGGGACATGTAGTACATTCACTCCCTTCTCCATACCTCTGGTCATGTTCTCCTTGCCCCCCAAGCCACCTCACCCCCTGCTCTCCATCTATTCCCTCCTACTCCAGGAAGCCATCCCAGATCATCCCGGCCACAGCGACTTCTCCCTTCTTTGAGCACACACCATGGGTGTACTTCTTGGTAATCCCTCACGTCTACTGCCCCCTAAGCCTGGAACTTTGTGCTGCTGCTTATCTTTTCCTTGTGGGCTGTTAGTCAGAGAACATGTTCTCAGCTTCTTGGCTTCAGGGCCTCTCCCAGGGGAAAATCAGGCCACACCACAGGCTCTGGATTCCTCAAAGGCAGGGAGCAAGTGATCGTCATGCATCTCTGCATCCTCTGGGGGTGACTCACCACATTCTGCTCCTCCAGGTCCAGCCTGATGTCCACGAGTCGCTGCAACACAGCCAGGTGTCCCCGGCCGGCAGCCAGGTGAAGGGCTGTGTTCCCCTCCTACGGGGAGAAGGGCTCCTGAGGGGCCAGTAGAATCACAGACCCTCACAGGCCCTGGAGACCAGCTAGAGCCGCCCCTCATTTTATAGACATGGAAGCTGAGGTCCAGAGAGACACGTCCAGGTCACAGAGCAAGTCTGTGATGAGCTGCAGCCCTGGAGGCTGGGCCAATGCCACCCTGCCCGAGCACTGTGCCCAAAACTACAACCAGGGGCACTTTCAAGGGCCAAGTCCTGGTCTCTTTCCCTACACTTCAAGCCAGACACATTTCTTGAAAAAAAAAAAAATCCCTACTTTCCATGCTCCTGTCTAATGTCGGTCCCTCCTGGGACACCCAAATCCACCCCCTCGCTCTGCTGAAAGCCACAGCTCCAGTATCTCTCCGCTGTGCCCAGGCAGCCGCATGGCCCAGTCACTCACTTCCTTCATCTTTGCTCAAGAGGTAAGCCTTTCACTGAATAGTGCGGTCCACCCTGACCACGCTATTTAAAGCTGCAACTCCTGATCCCTCATCCTGCTTGATTTTTCCTTTATCCCCATAGCACCAATCACCTAACACACTCTATAATTTGCTTGTATACTGGGCTTATTGTTCATTGTCCGACTCTGCTAGAACACGAGCACCACAAGGGCAGGGATTTCTATTTTGTTCTCTGATGTTTCCCCAAGTGCCTAAAACAGGGCCTAGGCCACATGGCAGGTGCTCAATAGATATTTGTTCAGTGAGTAAATAATGTGATGGGGAGCTTGACATGTGTCTCCTGGAACTTGAGAGCCAGAAGACTGGTGGTTGCCTCACACTTGAGAAGTCTAAAGGTGACAGTGACAGAGCCAAGAGAGGTGGCTCCACTGGGCAGGGCAAAGGGCACAAAGTTCTTTGTATTAGAAACAGCCCCCACCGAGGGCAGCCTGCTTGGGGTAGTCCTTAAAGAGATCTTATTGCAGAGGACAACGGGAGGCTGACGGGGCTCCAGCAAAGAGGACGGCTAGAAGTGGCCAGCCAGAGAAAAGGTGTGTCCCTGACAAGGAACCACAGACGGAGGACCAGGGCAAGGAGCCCTGAGGAACCTACAGAAGCATCCAGAAGGGAAGATCCAGCTTCCGCCATTCGTCAAGGCCCTGGGACATCTCTAGCTGACCCAGTCATGGGGCCTCCAGCTCCAGCTCTTTCCTCCAGCCTGGCCTGTCTCAGTACCTCCCTGAGAAGGAATCAAGACCTTCACATTTAGGCACAGACCCTTAAAGGGCCCAATGAGGATGTGATCATACAGTATACCGAAGCCAAAGCAGCACTTAAAATGGTTAAGAACATACCCCCTATGAGAGATGCACACATCCATAAAACAGCTATAACTACCTTATGGGATTAAAGAAGAAAGATTTAAATTTCCTTTATGATCATCATCATATTAATAAATAAAAATTAAGTTTAAAATGTCCCCTCACCAGCTTTGTTCCACTCCCCCCCTACCCTCTGCAGACACACACACTGTGACCTGGTTGGCTCGCTGCTGCAAGCAAGGACCAGGCTGTGGGAAATGCAGTCACAGCGTGAAGTCTCTGTTCAAGTAGACACGAAGGAAGTGGGTGAACCGTGGGGGCCGACACGTGCCCCCAGCTAGCAGGGCCATGGAGACAGGGCAGGGCTTTCTTGTTCCTTCTGGGTTATAAATATCTGCATCCTGCACTTTGAAGCTGCAGGTGGCATGGACCCCCTACCAAGGCACCCGCACTCTGCCTGGGCAGGGCAGGGCGCTCAGTGGCAGGAGAGCTGGGCAGAAGGAGGCCTTGGCCTTGGGCCTGGTGCCCTCTCCCCTCCACCCGTGGGGACGCCCAGCCTCTCCACCTCTGTGAGGCCCTGTGAGCATCTCCTTGACGTTCCCAGTGGAATTAACGACTCTCTGGGCTCTCAAAGCCTCCCTGCCTACAGCACCTCTGGCGTGACATGTGTTGTCATCGGTTCTGACAGGTCTGTCCCCCTGTGCAGGCTGTGGGGTCCCAGCAGGAGTCAGACCTTCTGTGGCTCAAAGCTTTGAAAAACTTACTGTGGCCACTCCCTGAATGAAATTCAAAATGAAAACACTCCTCATCTGAAAATACAAAACTTGACAGGGGCATGCAATTTGAAAAGCTTCTTTCTAGAATTTCTGATTCTGGGTACATTCATCAAAGCTGGACTTTTCTTGTTTTCTGGTTTTGGAGCTCCTGCTCTCCTGGGGCCCTGAGGACAATCATTTTTGCCTCCTGGGTAGATGTGTCCTGGCCAAGGCTGTCCTTTACCCTCTCTGTACTCCCAGTTCCTGGCCCCGTGCCTGGCACAGAGCACGATCTGCTCAGCCCATGTTTCTGAAATGAAGGAAATCAGCCTGATCTGATTCTCAGGACCTGACTCAGCCTTTTCATCCTGAAAGGATGAGTGTGGACAGACAGATTCAGTGCAGACACCGAGGGCTCAGTGCCCCAGGAGGCAGCCTGGTGAAAGAGAGGAGTACAGGGCTAGGCATCAGGATGCTGGTTCCAAACCCAGCTCGACCTTTGTCTTGCTGTGTGACCTTGGCTAAAGTATCCCCCTCTCTGGGCCTCGGTTTCCACATCTATAAAGTGAAAAGGTTGAACTGGCCCTTGATGAAGATGTCTTCCATTTCTAAAACCCTGTGGTGCATTTGTCTGTGAACTCTCTGTCACTAGCTTATAAACAGAACTCCTTCTATCCTGGCCCAGCACATTAATCAGAAGATTAAAAATGGAGTTTGTCTCTTTGTTGGAAGCATCGTTTAGAATTTGCTGCAACATATTTGCCTAATGATTCACAATGGTCCACTGACACAAGTCATTTGCAAGGTTGTCCCCTCTGGTCCCCATCCCTCACCGCTTCTCAGATTGCAGAAATCCTGCTCGTAAACTCCCCACCCTGAAGGAACTGCTCCCTCCTAAGTGCTCTCATCCTACTTTTGCCATAACCATAGTAGAAACTAAAACACAAAGAAAGCAAACAACCAGATGGTGGCTACCATCCCCCTAACTCTTCCCCACACCCCACAACAACAGACATCTCCAGTGGAATCACAATTCTGCTCAAACCCACTCCAGGCAGCACTACCAACCAATCAGATTTGCCAACCTGACTCCCCACATCCGATCATAGCTCTTTACTAGGACTGTGGTGTTGAGTTCCCGGAGTAAGAGACTGTGTCTTGGGCATCTTTGTGCTCCTCACCCATAACACAGGGCTGGCCCATGGCATGGGCTCGAAAAACGCCTGCTGGATGAACATCAGACATGCTCTGGTCTTTGCGCCACCAGCCCCTCCAGCATGCTGGAGTCAGAAGTGGGCACAGGTGAGCTGCCAGCACCCAGGAGCCCAGAGCCTGGCACTCCCCTGGGACCCACAGTCACAGTACCTTGTCTTTGACACCGTGGTCACAGCCAGAGCCCACAAGGAAGTCCAGAGCATCCAGCTGCCCATGCTCAGCAGCCCGGTGAAACGCCGTCCTTCCTAGCTGACCGGGGAGGAGAAGAGAGTGAACCTTCCACACCCTGCCCACCTGGCCTCTGTTTCCCCAACTGCTCTGGGCTTGCAGTGACCTCTCCTGCCCCCAATGATCTCCCCTCCTTTTGCCCTACACACCCTGCCTGGAAAGCCCAGACCCATTATCGCAACAAGACCCCACTTGGGGGGGTCCCTCCCCCACTGAAATCATGCTGCCTACTGAAGAAGGGACAGATTCCTGAGGCTGCCGGTCGAGATCTCCATGAGGGGCCCCAGCACCCCCTCGGGCCCTCACTCCAAGATTCCAATCCATCTGAACTCACACACCAGGAGCCTTTTCCGCCTCTAAAGCTCTAGCAATGCCCTCTCCTCCATTTGGAATGCCCCCCACCTCTGCTTCCCAATATACAGTTCATTCACCAAGCGCCACCTCCTCCGGGAAGCAGAAAGCAGTGGCTCCCTTCTCTAACCTGTCTAGTACTTATCAGAACCCCTTTGAGGTGACTGACCATGTTCTGCCTGTGTCCTGCTATTTGTGCCCTAATGCCCCGTCCAGACCAGCAGCTCGCTGAGGCGGGGTCCAGTCTGCACTACTCATAGCTCAAAGGATGCACTCAATGAATGGGCAGGAGTGGTCCCAGGAGCCCCTGGCCTAATGGGAAGGACAAAGAGCCTTAAGGCCACTCTCACCTTGTCAGCGTGGTCCAGGGTCACGTCCTCCAGGTCCTCCATTATGAATGCTAGCACGAGCACGTGCCCTTTTTGGGCTGCGCAGTGCAGCAAGGTCAGGCCGTCCTGGAAACAAGCCCAGGGTGGTCCCTGCAATCTGCGAAGGGAGGCGCTTCTCACACACTGGCTGTCTCCCTGTCGGTCAGTGTTTGCAACCCAGAACACAGCTTTCCCAAGGAAACAACATTGTAAATAGAAAAGGGCCCCTGGAATAACTACAGGGGCCCACTCAGCCTCACGGGGTGGGTGGGATGCAGGATACCAGAGTCCAAATCCCAGCTCCAGCATTTGTCAGCTCTGTGGTCTTGGGCAAGTTACCTCTACCTCTCTGAGCCTCCATTTTCTCACAGGTCAAATTAGGTTAATAACCCTTGAGAGGACTGGACTGCATCACCTACAGGAAACATATTTTATAAACTGAAAATGATTCTAGGATGTAACGTGATATAGCATTCACAGTCCCACAACATCCCCACAGAATATTGTTATGAAGGTTCTAGCCTCTGCTTGCCTTGATAGAACAGCAAATGAGGAGGGAGGTGGCTAAGTGCTCAGCCACTAGGGGGTGACCTCCTAACCTTCCGGGGAGGACTGAGAGCAGACACGGCCTGCAGGGACTAGGAGATTAGTGGCGCGAGTGGGAGGAGGGGGAGGCAGGGAGAAGGTCTCTTGGCCCCAGAAGCAACATTTAAGGGAGAAGGTTTGCAAATCCTATGTTCATAGCCCAGAGCTTCTACCCTGGCCTTGCATCACAGCTAGATTGTTTGGAGCACTGTTTTTCAAATAGATGGCAACCATCAATGGGTCATAAAAATCAACAGAACAGTGTTCTACACCTTGACAGCAGTTTGGGTTACACAGGAATAGCATTTGTCAAATCTCAGTGAGTATACACTTAATATTTGTGTATTTCATTGTAGGTAAAGAAATGAACTCTAGTTAATGACATGCAAGCTGAAGTATTTAGAGGGAAGTATATTGATGTCTGCAATTCATTTTGAAATGCATCTAAAATTTATAAAGAACTCTAAAAACTCATCAATAAGAAATTAAACAACCCAATTAAAAAATAATTTGGACCCCGAAGAAGATATATGGAGGGCAAGTAAGCACATGAAAACATATCTGACATCATTAGTCATTATTGAAATGCAAACTAAAACCACAAAAAGTTTCTAACAATAGAATACAGAAAGGAAAAAATGCTAACATTCCAGTGGAGAAACCTAGCCGACACCACTTTAAACAAGAAATCAAGGGTGATATTGTGATTCATAATAAGAAATACATATTTGGTCTTCATCCCTGTTTCTGGCACAAATCTCCTAAAACCCTAGTGGCAAGAGCGATAAAGGAATCTCTTGTTATGTTAATGAGTGGGCTGGGGAACCCCCTAGGTAACCTAAGGATGGGGCTGGTTGCCTGGGGAACCAATTGTGATTAAAGGGTTGGAACTTTCAGCCCGACACCCCCAACCTCCGGGAAGAGGAGAGGGGCTGAAGGTTGAATCAATCACCAATGGCCGAGGATTTAATCCATCATGCCTAAGTAACGAAGCCTCATAAAAACCCAAAGGGATGGGGTTTGGAGACCTTCCAGGTTGGTGAACTAGAACGCATCCACTCGCCAGGCCCCAAACTCCTCAGGGACAGAAGCTCCTGTTTACGGGACCTCACCCTACGTATCTCTTCATCTGGCTATTGATTCCTATCCTTTAATATCCTTTGTAATAAGCTGCTAACCTACTAAGTAAATTGGTTTCCTGAGTTCTGAGAGCTGCTCTAGCAAATTAATCAAACCCAAGAAGGAGGGTGGTGGGAGCCTCTGATTTATAGCCAGTTGGTCAGAAGCACAGGTAACAACCTGGACTTGAGACTGGCATCCGAAGTGGGGACAGTCTTGTGGGGCTGAGCCCTTAACTTGTGAAATCTGACGCTATCTCCAGGTAGACAGTGTCAGAATTGAGTTAAATTTGTGGGACATCCGATTAATGTCCGTGGAGAATTGAGTTAATTGCTTGATGATGTGGAAAAGAAATACATATCGGAATTAGTGTCAGAAGTGGATCAAGGTAACAACATCACTCGTGTTATCACTAGTGACAAGTCATGTTGGTATGATATGCCCCCTAATAAGAGGTGATGAGACGGGTGCTTGACCTCTGTGGTCTTCTTCCCAAAATTCCAGAACCCCAATCTATCTAATCGTGAGAAAAACATCAGACAAACCCCAATTGAAGGACATTCTACAAAATACTTGACCACTACTCTTCAAAAGTGTCAAGGTCATGAAAAACAAGGAAAGACTAAGACATTGTCTCAAGGAAACAATTAGAATAAGGAGACAAGATGACTAAATACTTTAGGATATTAATGGGAAAAATGGTGAAATTCTACTACAATCTATAGTAAAATTTTACGTATCACCAATGCCTGGCAAGGTAGAGCCAGGTAAACAGCAGGGAAAAGAGAAAGCTTCAGGGCAGAAGCAGGAAGGGGTGAATGGATTGTGGTCGTGGCTCAAGGCTCATCTAAAACGAGATGAACACCTTTGGGGAAGACCTTCAACAGGGACTGAAAGGAAGACTGCGATGGACTGTTTACAAAGATGGCTGCAACTATTCCTCCCACCCTTGGAAGCACCCTAAGCAACCGGACTGTGCTACTCTTCTTATCCAGAGGGGGAATCCAATATTCTCCTCCCCCTGGATCTAGGCTGGCCTGTGATGGGCTTTGAGCAGTAGAATGTGGTGGAAGTGCTATAATGTGACTTTCTAGCCTTCAACTGAAGAGACCTTGCCATGTTCACCCTTGCTTTTTTCATGCCCTAGGGTAGCCACATAAGGAAGGCCAGCCTGGCCTCCATGAAGATCAGCCACTACCTGGAGAAACAAGCAAGCCGCACCATCCCAGACATTCCTACCCTCCCTGCAGAGGCCCCAGACATGTGAGGGAGGCCACCCAGAGAGAGCCAGCCCCCAGCCCAACCACTTGCTGATCGTGGTCTCATAAGTAAGCCCAGGCAAGACCAGAGGAACTGCTCAGCCAATAACAGGATTATGAAAAATAATAAATCATTGTTACTTTAAACCACTAAGTTTTAGGGTGGTTTGTTACCAAAAATAGAAAACTAATACAGAGGGGATCCACTTAACCAGAAAAGTCCATTACTCAGAGCCCTGCCCTTGACACACACCCAAGACCCTGCCACCCTCATTCTAGAACAATGAGGTTCATTCACAGCTCTGTGTTTACAGCAAATTCCATCGAGATAGCTACTGGATTCCCTAGGGCCACTGAGCCTCTCCAAGGCCAAGCAGGCAGGACTGGATTCTCAGCTTGAACTGGGGCGTCTTCATGGGTACCCTCCTGATGGCCCCTCACTCTCTCACTCTCTCATTCCCACACTCTGGGCTCAGACCCTGTGGCCCATAACTTAGGAGCATCCTTCCCTGGGAGCCGTCAGACATTCCCACCACTGCCAACAAGATCCTGACAACGGCCTAAGGCACACCTCTCATGTGCCATGGCCCTTTTTGGTATCTGGTGCAGCCTACGGACCCCTTCTCAGAATAATCTTTATTTAAATGCATAAAATAAATTATATAGGAAGAAATTTTAATCAAATACACAAGCTTACAACGGTGTATTAGTTTCCTATTGCTGCTATAACAAATTACCATAAACTTGGTGGCTTAAAACAACACCAATTTATTATCTTACAGTTCTGGAGGTCAGAGTGTAAAACGAGTTGGCAGGACTGTGCCTCTTCTGGAGGCTCTATGGGAGAATCCCTTTCTGGTCTCTCCAGCTTCTGGAAGCTGCCACATTCCTTGGCTTGTGGCTACATCACTCCAACCTCTGCTTCCTTCATCACATCTCCTTCTCTGACTCTCCTGCCTCCCTCTTTCTCCTCTAAGAATCTTTGTGGCCCCATGTAGATAACCCAGGATAATCTCCCCACCTCAAAGTCCTTAACTTAATCACATCTGCAAAGTCCCTTTTGCCATGTTAGGTTCTGGGGTTCACAGGTTCTAAGGATTAGGACATGGACAAATTTGGGGGCCATTATTTTCCCCACGACAAAAGGAAACCAACTATATTGAAATAGAACTATCAAAAGTACTAAAAACCAAATTTTCAATCTAGTCATATATGTGCTTTATTGATCCATTAAGCAACAAAATCTAGTGAAGGATCTGGTAACTGCCGTAAATGCTAAGTAAGAATGAACATAAATAGTATTTTGATATAACTGCAAAAACTGTAATGTGATTCACAAAAATTAACTCCAAATGGATCAAAGACCTGAAGGTGAGACATGAAACTATAAAACTCGTAGAAGAAAATATAGGCAACACACTATTCGACATTGGTCATAAAGGAATC